ATTACTGCACCTGTCGTTAAGCTGAGACATTTCATTAAGTGCTGAGGGCACCAAGGGCAATCAGGGCTGGCCTTTCATCCCTCCAACTGCCAGCACCTCTGATGGGCCCTGCCATGCCAGCAGTGGGATGGTGTGTTCACCACAAGACAGGCAAGGACATCGGCTCTTCACACCCACAGCCGGGCAAGAGCTACATGAGCATGGAGCTTCTCCACTGGCCACAGGCAGGGCCAGGCCAGAGCCGTTTTCACAATGAGTCTTTCTGTTTGGTGACTTCTGACTTCCAACTCCCTTCTTGTGCAAAAGGAGGGAAAAAAAAAAAAAAAAGCAAGGGAAGGACAAAGACGATGCACCTCACACAACTGGAAGAAATTAGCTTTGCCCTCACTAGAACTAATTGAATTCCTGGGCTCAGCCTGTGCATGTGCGTGCAAATAAAGACTAAAACATGGGGACATCACTCACTCGCCCCATCTGCCACGAGGCTGCCCACCCTGCTCAGCGCAGCTGAGCTGCGGGGACACAGGAGACAAGGACGATCGGAGAAACTGCAAGTGGGTACCTGACATCGCAAGGGCTTATTCAAACCGACAACAAAACTCAGTGAAACATGGATTGAAACAATAAGTTACCTACAATATTATTTGCTGGGGTGAACTTAGACCATCCTCCCACTGCCTTTTGTCTCAGCCTTAATACAGTGAAGTCAGATTTATAGGATCATCTCTCCTGCTTGTGCGTCAGTGAAGCAGTACTACATTTTGCAAGTGAATCTCCCAGGTAAGGAGTGGAAATCAATTTGTTTCTTTTTATTTCTTGTGCCAGTAGCAAAAATATGTTCTTTGGGATTAAGCAAAAAATTGGCAGGATGTGAAAGGACCACGGGGGGGAAAGTATCTGCAAGCCTGAAGCCGTTTCCGGGACGAACAATGCCCGCATATCTTCCCCAAAGTTCTTGGAAAGGAGATGAAAAAGCAAAAGCTGGGAGAGCACTGACAGAAACATAAAGCAGCAGCCACCATCTGGAACACCCAGGCAGCCTTTACACTGCTCTTAGTTTATTTTTCAGTAGTAAAATTTCCTGCTTGTGATTTATTACCGGCCTGTGAAGTTTGAAGAGATATTTTCTCTCTAACAGCCACTGAGGAAATCCTTCAGGAGAACAAAGAGAACAGGATCCAAAAGAGAAACCAGGCAAGGAGATTCACACCCACCTAGAGGGGCCTTTCCTCTACTCCTCTCCCCACTCCACCAACCTTCATCTCCTCTGAAACAGTTTCTGCTTCCTGCTGATTTGTCAGCAAAACAGCAAAACACCTTCCTCTTAATGTGTTGAGCAGCTCCAGGCATCTCAAAGCATGACCGAGGAAAGAACACAACGCACCAGCCCACAGTGCTACTTCTCTTCTTGTGCAGTTCAGTATAGCCGAGGACCTGACAACGTGCAACTCAGACCTCAGATAAACAAGACTAAAGCTATGCTTAAGTTGAACTGCAACAGACCCTTACTCTTCTCCTCACCATCTCCTTTCTTTTGGGAAAAACTAGAAATTGCTGAGATCATTAAAGCCTCATTTATGGTGAATTATTCACTGTTACTATACTGTTGCATCTAGAACTATCAGTCCAGGGAGTTATTTTATTACAACCTTGAATAAGCATATGATAAGAGAAACAATATACCTGGAATCAAACAGGTACAGAAGATAGGGAAACAATTTTGATCAGAATTAAAAAAAAGTAATGAGCAGAGGTCTTGTCTGAGAGGAGACTGGTAGCAGATAAGGAAGGCAATGTGGTGGTTCTCAGATTTTTGAAGTGCATAATTTTGCTAAGCATAACTAATCTTTTTCCTCCTACTGTTTTTTATGAGACATATTGTAGTTTCTCCCTGTTCTGGAAACCTGCATTGTGAGGACATGACAGAATCTCCCAGTAAAAAGAGAGAAGCACAGACAAGCAGCTCAAAAATTATCAAAGTATAGAGACTGATAAAACAGTTTCTTTAAGTATCCCTTGCTTCTTTAAAAGAAGATGAACACAGCGATTCCTCACTAGCATGAAGCTGGACGGTATGCAGGAGGAATGGTGACTTTTATCCACTCATGAAACCAGATTTGTATCTACAATTAAAACAGAAGTGTGTCACACTACAGCTATCTCCCCGCCCTTCCCAAAGACACCAGCTTTATCAGGATATCAGGATTGAGCCAGATGTGGGTCAGCTTGAATGTCTTGGTCTGCATTTCTAACCTGCTTCTCATCGTATCTAAGTGCTTGCTGTTAACATGGCTTCCACAAAAATTGCAAGGAGAGGGAAGAACACAAAAAACAGAACTACCAGAGCATCATTAATTAGCTTAATTTCCTTAGTGATGTGATACAAAATGTAGGGGTTAAGAGAAAGAGATGAGTCAGACACATAGCTACACTAGCATGGCCAGCCAGCTCCCTCCTTTCCCAGGCTGCAGCTTTGGGGAATGTGTGAATATTGGGGAAAGAGCAGAACTCTCCTTCTACTTCCCAAACCACCTGCCAGAAATCTCCCAGACCATCGACACCTGTCACGCGCTCCTGGACAGGACAGGAGCGTGCCCCTGCGGCGCAACAGAGATGGGACAGCCCAGAGGTGGCCGGACAAGGCAAGGAAAGCAACGATAACAGATTCACACAGCAAGGTCTGTCGTCGCCAACAGCACCCAAAGGCTTGAGCAACTCAAATACCCTGAAAGACCGTGAGCATTAAATATGATCTGCCCTTGCACTTAACTTGCAAATTCATTATTTGACTCTTCCAGCCCAATTAAATAGCAGCTGCTGACTGATTTGCATGCACCATCACTCAGGCCGTGATTACTGCTGACATGACACGAGCTGTATAAAGGGCTCTTTCAGGAACAGATTATGTAAGCTGAATAAAGGCATTTGGCTTTTATTCTAAGGAAAATGCTGTGCATCAAGTCTATTAAATTTGGAATGGACAAGAATGACTCCAAGTAAAAGCTGAATCTTTAATGCCCCTTTTGAAAAAAATTCTTCTTCTACCAAGAAAAGGAAGGAAAGGCCAAGGGAGAGGGTAATGAAGATTTACTTTTTTGTTAGTCAGGATTCAGAGGGCAGCCCACTAGTTTTACTAAAATGCTCTGTTTATTAAAACAATTTTCTAATCAAATAGTTTATTGTATTTACACAGTATTGTGCAAAGGTGCCTGTGAGGTCAGTCCGGCCTGGAAAAGAGTTGCTTTTGAATCTGCTAACTAGCCCAGGATGTAAAATCACTTTGCATCCGGTCTAACATTCTCTGAAATAAAGGGCTACAATCTTGAGACCACTTAAGTCAATAGAAAAAATCCTATTAGCTCTGCTGGGCCAGAATTCGCATGTTTTTAAACACAATTTTAAGTCAGTATTTCCACTGGATGCAGAGTACTCCAAAGAATCAGCAGGTAGAAGCAGAGCTCGCTTCTAGCTCCATAGCGCAACGTGCTGTGGAGACAGCCCCAACCCCCAGCTGAGGAAAAAGTGATCCACAGAGGTGACCTATCTTACAAAATGGTTAGCCTTTTAAGTAGTCCAATTAAATAGTGCAGATTTAGGGCCAATTGGGCAACGTCCCTAGAGAGTAAAATACCATATGAGACCTTTGAATTTGGAGGGATTCTTGATCTAGTTCACATGCAAGAGAGACATAACAATCTTAATAACTTAAAGCAAGATAGAGGGAACAAGATTGAGAGAGAAGGAATTTAAGCTTGAAGGAACTAGCCAAGGAACTAAGCAAAAGAAAGCTCTCACAGTTATATTAAAGGCTACTGGGGAATTAACAGCAATTTTTCCTCAGCTGCTCAAATTGAAGTGTAGTTTACCTGAAAAGGATGGGTGATGGAGGCTTGCCATCTGCTTGGTGGGATGTCCTCTCAAGTATATGACATGACACTGCGGGAAGAAAGAAGCTGCTGCTGTCATTTCACTTCACTCCCGACAAGAGCAAGGGTGGAAGCAGAAGAAGAGCTACCCTGTTCAGAAGTGGTTGACTATCTCCTTCTGGGAGACAACTTTCAAAACACTAGGGTGCCATTTTCAGCTACACATTTTGGTGCACTCTCCACTCAAGCCCAGGAGAGCATGCACATTCAGGATAGAGTGAAGGAAAGAAGGATAGGGTCAATATCTCAATGTCGTACTTTAATTTCATGCCAGGACTGTAAACAGAAACAAATCTCAACCAACTCTAAATGTTTAAAAACACTGTATGTTTAGCCTAAACAAACTAATCACTGTCAGGGATTAATTGGGATGAATTGCCTTCAGGAAATGCTTGTCTGCCTCCACTGACTGAAGAGGTATTCTGAAATAAATACCTGTATTTTAAACAAATTGCCTTCAGAGTTAGACTGGCACAGCACTTTGGGGAAGGAAGCCAGCAGAGGCTGCTGATGCTGCCGTCACGAGAAGTGTGAGACCTGTGGCCTCACATAAGTCACTATTAAGAGTGTTATCGAGAGGATACAGCTTCTAATATCATAGCTCCTCCAGGCCACTCATGGTAAGGTCTGGTACGGTATTGCTAGACAGTTTTATCAACAAGGTAAATGAGGTATTGACCGACTAGTCAAGATCATACCAGCAGGCTGATATGACACTGGAAAGAAGTGAAATTCCTGAGCACCATTTCACCGTCCTAATTATCCTGTCTATGAAATAGTTTAAGAAACAAAAGAACTCAAACCCACAAGAAATGCAAATTTTAAAAGTTATCATCAAATAAGCAGTGATATTTAAAATCAACACATAGATTTTCTTGTGTTCCCTCCTCCCCAGTCTTTTAATTATTCATACCCAGCATCAGAGAATAGGATCAGCTAAACATTCAAAAACTGGAAAGGTTGACAGGGACTGTAGCCTGCAGGAGAATTAAACGGATTTCTTGCTCTCTTTCAGCTGGAAATAGAGAAGCTGGGATCCCATCCAGAAGGGGGGACATCTGGACTGAGGAGAAGAGTCGTATAGATTGATCAGTGCCAGAATGGGCACTGACAACAATGCAAAAAAGCTAAAGAGAAGGCAGCAGAGCATGAAGTGATTTGTTACTGCCTAGGAAGATATATCCCAGGAAAATTCTCTCTACTTGCTGTTGTCTCTCTCTTTGCCAGTCCAGTAAGTATAGGAACAGAAACACTTTTTTGAAAACTGGTACAAAGAAGATGCTCACAGCTGAGAGGGTCTTGATACCATCATCACCAATGTCCTCAAAAAACCAGAGGAAAACAAACGTGGCACAGGCAGGATAGTTTGCTTTGACTTGACTCCCTTCCAAAAGTCAACCGAATTAGAAAGGAGCAGAATTAAGACTGTATTCCTAACAATTCTACATTTTCACACCTTTTCTGTTCTTTTTTCCTTTTCTAAAACAATTATTAACCTAGAAGCCAAAAAAAAAAAAAAAAGAGAAACCCTTTATTCATGCATTCAGGGTTCAATACACTGCTACCTGCTTTGCTAAGACATACCATTTCCCGCACACTTCGGAGAGTCTGTTTCACAGTGCAGACAAGTATTGCCAGTACTGTAAACCCCAGCACTTGGGAAAACATGAGTCAGGCATTAAAAACTATCCAACTTTTTAAATACCACATATTAATGGATTTTTATTCACCTTCAGCTGTCAGGCTGCTTAGAAATCATATCTTCAAGTTTATTCTCTTAAACAGGAGATGAGAAACTGACCTGTCATTTGAAATTAGTGTAGCTCAGACTAGGAAAGAACCCATAAGACTCAATAAAAGTCATTGCAGTGGACAATGCTAGTTTCTTTCAAAATGTAAGTAAGAGTTTCTCAGTCACTACTAGCAACTAGGCTATTTCTAGGCTTAACTTCCAACCTTTTTGAGGTTTATAATGTGCCAAAGGACTTTCCTGCTTTTTTTTTCTGCTGATTTTAACACTAAGATAATGAAAAATTATATGTATCCCATCAATTATTTATGAATTTTCTATTAATATTTCAAGATTTGTGTGCATAAATAAAACATTAATTAGAAACTTGCAATCAATCTTTTTTTCAATATTTTCCTTTGACATGAGTCCTACTTAAAGACCTTCACACATGGATCTTTGAATGATTTATACCAGACAATTAATGTGATGTTTCAGCAAATATAATAGCTTTCCCCTTACATCTGGTAGTATCCAACACACACTTTGAGAAATCAGCCACAGAGGTTTGTCTTGCCAGAGCTGGTCGTGCAGTACCTGAGCTTTGGCAGGGAAAATCCATCACTTTTTTTTTTTTTTTTTTACTCTTTTCTTTCCCCCCCTCAAATGATGTCTTTGTTTGAAATAAAGGTGCATGAAAATATAACGAGAAACAAGTAGTTGAAGCCAATAAGAGATGTTTCATTGAATGTACAGTGACAGGGATTAAGTCTATTAAGCCTAAGTTAACAGTGCAGGTTAAGGTTTTGGTCAGTATTTTTTTCTATAATACAACGGAAGAGAAAAAGGGTTTTCTGGAAATGCTGCGACTGTGAAACGCCATGGCCAGCACTTCACTGTTGCCTGGTCACTAGGACCGAAAACAAGGACCGAGAGTCATTCTAGGTACACCAGATACCACACTGGGAAGCAGACAAAAAGGGATGGCTGTTTGTAGGACACTGTGACCTAATTACGTGCTTTTAGTTGATATATAGCATCTTTCATATATGCACAGCTCACCACTATTTGACTTACAAAAATATAATTAAAGCATAACCTACCTGCAAAGAAAGACCCAAGTGAGTCACACAAGCAAAGACTTTTGTGCTACAACAGTCCTACAGTCTGTCCTTCCGCACAAGCTGTATGTCTGCCTGCTTCTCTTTCTGTTCTCGAGTCTTCCCCTTCTCCCTAACACTCACTTTTTTCTTCTAATCTTCTCCTTTTTCTCATTTTATCTCTTGTATCTCTAATGATCTGTGCTTGATGCCTTCATATAGACTGATATCTAGCCATGTATAGCATGTGCTCACTGTGCTCTTACTCAAGGTGATAGGATTTGTTTTGGCTAAGTATCTACTTCATAACTTCTTGAGCATCACCCCTCACCCCAGGACTTGGATTTTATCCCTCACAAAACCTACTGGGAATTATTTCTAGCATCCTTCTCTAGGCTTTATGCACATCACTCTCTGCTCTGTTTCCACACAATCTCATGAAGTACTGCAATACACAGTTACTGCTACTTCTTCATAAACTTCCAGTCCTCCTCCTATCTCCATTTTGAATCCTAGCCACAGTGCTCCATATCAATCCTTAGAAAACTCTTTCCTTGGGTTATCAGTTGCTGCTTCTTCCCATTTGCTTTTACCTCATGCTGAATATCTCCAGCTCCTCCCATTTCCCTTTAGCTTCTTTGTATACCCTATCTATGAGGTTAGGACCTAGACTCTTTTTCTTCCGCTTTCCACCTACAAACACTTGCCAAGCCATTCTGGAAGGCACTTTTTGCCGGCAGGTCACCTCTGTCAGGGAACAGCCAAGGCCAAGGTGGGCCCAGCGACAGCCCCACACACAGCTGGGTTGACTGGGGCTCCTGGAGCAATGGGTAGGAGGGGCCAGGCAAGGCTGTTAAGGCCCATTAGTGTCCTCAGGGGCCTGACAATCTCCTCCCCATTTACAAAGCAACCACAGTTTTTCTAAAGTTGCTTTTGACAATGTTACATTTGGTTAAGCACCATTCCAGGTGGACAGTGACAGTATGCATGGCAGTGACAGCTTTCAGTTATGTATCTTGGGAAGAGTTCGCTTCTAAATTACAACCATTGATCACCAGCTGTAAGGTTTTCTATTGAAAATTGAATCAATAAAAGGGGGGAGTACAAAGTTTGATTAAATTGGGTCAATAAAGGCAAATATCAAGAGTTTCATTAAACTCTCTGCAGAAAGTGACATTTTTGAGAATATTATCTTTTCAGCAGGTTTGCCAAACAATTATTCTTTTTGACAACACATTTCAAAAGGTGCATTACAAAGATGACAGTGCTTTATTATACTACTCTTTGAATAGAATATAAGTAGTCCCCTCTGGTGAGCTTTCTGACTAAGAGTATGTAAATTGCAACGCATGCAGACAATCTTCAGTGAATATTCAGTCTTCAGAAATGCCTGCCCATGCTTGTTTTTCCTTGCCTGGGCTTTGATTGAGGCAACTGATAGAGGAGAGTCAGAGATGCCAGCCTTTCTAACCAGAACATGATAGGTAAAGAGTTTCTTACATCTCTAAGGGCTTGTTGCTCTCAGTGTGTAGTATCTATAGTACCTGACAATTACTGACAAATTAGATGAACTATTTAGTCTATCATCCTTTTTGGAAATTCATTAAATGATGTCTCAATTTTTAGAGCATAAAAGTCAAAATTACAACTAACTTTTCATTAAAAAAAATAATTTTTGATCTACTTCAGGATGGAAAAAATATACCTAAGCGCTTTCCAAGGCTTACTTCTTGTTGTGATTTGTTTTCCTTTCTGCTTACAAATTCATTCATTGACAGCTACAGTTGTCCCCCTTCTTTCCCATTTCTCCCCCTGAAATCCCTTTGATTATTTATTTTTCCTTCTCCCTAAATGTCCTCAGTCCAATCCTGCTCAATAAGATCACTGCTCCACCTCTCCTACCCTGTTCCCATCAGCTTCACACTTCTCTCCTACGTGAACCAATTTTCCCCTCCTTTCCCCAAAGCAAGCCGTCTTTCCTCCTGCTAACCAATCGCCATCAAAGCCTTCTCCCACTCTCTCTTTATTCCATGCCTTCCCTCTCGCTTTGCTTTCTCTTGCTCATATGCTTTTCTCTACTGCACCCCTGGAGAGACATCAGCTCCCTCTGACATCTTTCCTGGGGGAGTTTATAGGGGCATGTGCGTAGAATGACTGTTATCCATATTTTTCTCGATAAAATAAATGAAAAAATAAAGACTATAATCTTGTGAAGATGGAGCACTTTGGAGCTTTGTTTATCAGTAGAAATTACTCTTATCTCAAGAGGTTTGGTCATTCTCTGCAGAAAAACGCTGTGCAATTCTCACATTCAGGGTATGTCAGTGTTTAATAGTGTTGCACAGGAATGAATCTGAGATGAAGTTTTAATGTTTCTCTGCAGATTTTAGCAGTTACCAGCTACAATACTTGCATAAATGAAGTTAAGAAAGGAAAATACAGAGTTTATGACTTTGCAAGAGACGGAAATTTTTTTAATTTGTAAACATTCATCCTAAAGCCTTCCACTTTCAGTTACTCCATCTTCTTTACAGATAATTTACATCCACGTAGTTTGATATTTTACCCCAAAATTCTTTTTGATATTTTGTTAATTTTGTCTGAGTGCTGGTAAGGTCAGGGTGATGCAAAAGCGTAGCTCTGCCCTTTGCCTGAGCTGTGAGACTGAAATGTAAGTATCAAAAATCAATGTGGAGAGATACTGGATGCAAATTCACTGGGTAATTCTCTTACATTATTACTGCCTCTTTACTGGCACTTCATGGGCAAATTTATAAGACGAATGGGGTGTAAGTAGAATATACCACTTATGGTACTGCATGTGCACCTATTCATGTGCACCCATGTACGCAACACATTCCCTTGTATGTCTTTGAATTCCCTCTTTTCCTCTTGCTATCCTGGCTACGTCCAGCCCTAGACTGCAGGTTCCTGTACTAAGAGGGTGTGAAGAGAATTCAGAAGATGAGTTTCTTCTAACTTATATCTCTGCAAAATTCCTGATCTGCTAAATCACAAAGAAAGCAAACTAAGAGCCATCACTACATCAAAGTATTTCTCAAAATATATGCCCCCTCAAGATTTAGATTATTTGGCTATGAACATTCACCTCCGGTGGAACAGTAGATTTTTTGAAAACAGAAGCGGATAGAATCCATTCGGGGAAAAGAGGTCTGTCAGTTACATTAAAAATCTAGTTGACAAAGTGCCATTAATGTTTTTGTAGCTTCTGCTTAAACATCAGATAGCCAAGTGCCTTGGCCCACCACTAAACTCCTGAGAAAGTTACATAGATATCCTAATGTAAATTTTCACAGTTCATTAAATATGAATGAGAAAGGAAATGCCTGAAAAATGTCTCCAGCAGTATTAGAAATTAATTTACTAGGATTTGCACTGCCACAGGAGTAAGACATTGAAATTGGCTACCACATGAGTTATCCCAATGTTACTTCTTAAATGCTAATTCAGTGAGGGCAACCTAAACTATCTCATAATGCAAATTCTCCTCCTGCTCATTTTCTTTAGCTGCTTTCTGTGATTACTAGTTACTAGTTACTGTTATGAATGCTAACAATACTGAGCCCCTAAGAGAAAGCGACCCTCTCATATCTGGCGTGCAGGATTATGCAATATAATTCAGAGGAAGGGCCTCAAAGTTACAGAGTGCCCTAATGTC